TAAGCAAAACATACTATTACTAATACTAAAACACATTGCTAACATTTCTATCTCAAGGTTGAAAGTTTTTACATTATTTTAATTGTTTACATTAAACTCAAAATAAATGTTTTCAGACATATTTATGTTTTTATAAATGAACAAATTCCATAACTATTCAATAAACCATGCAGAATACAGAATAGTCCAAACAGCAAGCAATTTAATTGTATTTTAGAAGTTGCCTTTCCATTAAACAAACAAACAAACAAACAAACAAACAAACAAACAAACAAACAAACAAATTTTAACATTTTGGCCCATTGTAACCTTTAAATTAACCCACCATCCCATCTGAGAGGACAGTGAGTATGATGGAGAGGGTTGGGGTAAACGGCCTTAACTCAGAGATTGTCATTTCTAATTAGACATAAAATTTTTTGTTTGTTTTATTGCTGAGCTACAAAAAAGCAAACTGAAATTAAGTGTTTCAGTTAAATGTTGGAAGTGAATTTGATCTTTTAAAATGTAAAAACTGTCACTCGATGAATAGAGGACTTTGCAGAAGACATTGGCGCGCAAAAACTAGTGTAATTTTGTTATAAATCAGATTGTTTTTTTTTTTTACTGTAAAAGATCACTATACAATGCAAAAATACTGCATTAGTTAATAAAAAGTTATGTTTTGCAGTCATTTTTATAACATTATTAAATAAATTAAACAAACCCATGCTAAATTACCCCACACATATTTACCTTTAGCCCACTAGCCACAATCAAGTTTGTTTTTTGGCTGTTTATCAGAAAAGGTTTGGGCACCCCTGGTATAGCTAAAACTGTATTTGTATGTGCTGATGTGTTAACGGTTAATAAATAAATAAATAAATAAGATCATCCATTTTAATGTCTTTGTTTTTTTCCTGTAAGCCAAAACAATTACATTCAGAATCCTTTATGGCCTTTCTTTTATGTTAAATTGATGCAAAACTAAATTACATTTGTCTTATCATGTCATATTTAAAGCCTGTGAGAATGAAAATCACTTCAATAAAATCATTCATACATCATTACATGTAACAATGACATAATTACATGTTTTTTTTACATCATAAATTTAATACATTTTTAGTTTCCTTTGAAGTTTGCTTTTCTTAAAATATATATTTAATATTTTATTCTAATATATAAACTTGGGTGTACTAATTTTGGACCGTTTTGGCTTCAGTACTGATTAATCTAATGTATATACAAAAATATAATATTGTAAAGCTTCCAATAGAAAATATGAATTTAAAAGAGAGGTTTGTGCAGGGTGAATTCATATATGTTAAGCACTGTACATGTAAAAACTGGCATTGGACGTGCCATCAATTTCTTAATGTCCAGAACATCAATATACGTACATAGTTTGCATCAGTAACAAACCTTGAGTAACAGCACATCCTATCAGACACCTTTCCAGCATGTTCAGGCTTGTTGTAGATCGGAGTGTGTCGTCACTGCATTCCATTCTGCTGAGGTCATAATTCACATTAATGAGGCAGTAACACTGGTTACAACCAGATCTTGCCAGCAGAAATATGAAATTTGACAATTCAGTTTCATTTAAAACGGGGTGGGGAAACACAAGTAGGTTAAAAGCAACTGTGACGTCATGCTAGAGGAAATCCTTTAGATATTATCACTCTTTCAGACTTGTGGTTTATAAAAATTGTTCCCTTTGGCACAAATAGATCAGATTAATGGGTGCGTTGTAATACAAAACAGTCCAAAAATGAGTCATGATGCTGAAAAGGGGCAAATTTTGTAGGATGGTATTAAATAGACTGTGTTTGATAAAAATAGACCTGAAGTCATTTGTTGTGTTTTCTTGTAAAGTGATTTGATTGGCCTCAATAGTAACATTTAGAAAGTGAAACTGTAGTCCAGTTGTGCTTTAAAGGTTTTAATTCTACTTAATTCAATTCAGGTTTATTTGTATTTTTTCACATTAATTATTGTTTCAAAGCAGCTTTACAGAAGGTGCACATTATTAGATTATCATCAAATTATAAGTTAAACAATCAAATATGAGTTATTATAAACATAATTAACCTGCAATTTTAGCGCATAGGTATCTATAGGTGATGTTTTAAAAAATGTGATTTTTATAATAAGCTGCAAAAACATGCAATAAAAACATGTTAAGTGGTAAACAGTAAAAGTCTTTAACCTTAACTGATCTTACTTTACATTTATTGTCATTTTATAGTAAAATAAATTACATTTACAGTAAAATAAAATGTAAATAAACATTCCCCTAAAATCATTTCCAGAGGGTTAATGGTATTGTTATAGGGCAATACATATTGTCACAATTGTTTGGATTTAGATTCTTTTAAATATTAACATTTAATAAAAGTATAAATGATCACATACAATGTGTTTTAAATGTTTGGGGAAAGGGTTCTTTCATTCATTTTCCTTCAGCTTAGTCTCTATTTCAGAGGTTGCCACAGTGGAATGAACCAGCAACTATTCCAGCACATGTTTAACACAGTAAATGCACCTCATTCTCACACACTCTACGGACAATTTTATTCATTTCACCTATAGCACATGTGTTTAGACTGTGGAAACAGAAACCGGAGCACCTGGAGAACATGCAAACTCCACACAGAAATGCCAACTGGCCCAGCTGGGACTCGAATCAGCAATCTTCTTGCTGTGAGGCAACAGTGCTACCCACTAAGCCACCCTGCCGCCCGGAATTGGGTTCTTTTATAAGGCAAAACTTTACATTTAAATAATTTCTAGGGCTAATATTGCTAACAAGCAAATAAATACACAGCTGAAAATGGGCCAAGAGCAGCTTAGCAAAGAACATTAGTTTTGAGTTTCTGCAACTGCAAAACATTTGTGCTGAAAATACACCAGATAACAGGTCTACGGTAAACTGCCCAACGGTTTGTGGTTTTCAGATGGAAAGGTCATGAACCAAGACGCCATTCAGCTGAGTCATTTTCCCTTTTCAATACTGTAAGTATGATTCAGCTAAATGGTGAAAGGCAGTGAAAATAGTTTCATGACCCTTCATCCATTCATGACATTCATTCACTTTATGGTGCTTTATTGTGGTCTTTCCACTGGAACGTGCTGAAACTTCAGTGGACACTCGACTAACTTACAGTTGTGGAACAGCAGCCGCGCTCTTGTTTACTCATCGGAAGAGATTGCCTGCTGTGTCAATTAAACGCAGACCACACTGTTCACTACATCTTAACAAAAACCCACATGCTATTATATAGGGAAAATGATCTGTTGGATGTCTGAATGAATAACTAGGCCTATATAACAAATAAATGGGCTGATGTAAAAAAGCTCAAGTTTCGATTTAGACTGGTTTATTATTATGAGAACTGCTATCTATGGCAAGCTGTTTTAACATTCAGTTAATACAATTCTGTCTAGACTAGAGGTCACTTACTTAGTTTTTGGATATTTAGGGATGTCCCGATCCGATTTTTTGGCTTGAGTCCGAGTCATTTGATTTTGAGCTTCTACCGATACTGAAACCCGATCCAATACTTCTATAATACTTAAAAAAAGAATAAAGAAAAGAGAAGAAACAGATCCAGGATGTTCCTTGTTTTATTTTATTAACTGATTTTAACATTTAACAACTTTGTTAACAAACAGAGAACTTCTGTGAGGTATCTTGTATCAGATGTAATGTATATAAAGACAAATAGCACCTCATCTTAAAATACCTGGCAGGCGATCCCAAGTTTACATATCTCACAGTTTGCTACTTTACAATACCTCCAGACCGCAGCCATAGGCCTACTCGCGCTTTCTGCTTCAAGCTGCTTCTTTGTTTGACTTTACCCGCATTTAACCAATAGCGTATCTGTAACAAAGTGATGTCATGCCGCACATGTTGCTGTTTCTGTGTGAAATCAAGAAAGTGTCTAACTCTGTGCCACCGCATAACTATATATTTGTTAAAAAATAATGACAATATATACATAATGTACATACTCGAGTCCTGATCCGGAGGTAATGTCCCATCCGCTTGTTAAGTGTGATGTCACGCGAAGCGGCTTCCGGGTCCAAGCACTCTATTCAACTGAATGGGGAGACTCATGAAATGGTAATAATAAACGTTTACAAAGCGATTTAAGGCTTTCAAAAATCACGATAGCAGTATATATGTCCGTTAATAATATCCGATGGCCAGAAAGTGATTAATTTTTTATAAATTGTTAAAATTTTGGTATTTGTTATGCAGCAAGCCCAGAGATTGTTTTGTACACTATGACTTTATATAAAATTAACTTTAATGTGTGATATGAATAAAACGCGATCATAAATGAATGATTTCTCTACTCAAATGAGTGGCGGCTTGGACCTGGAAACAGTATACATACGTCACAAACACGTCACCACTGAACAAGCGGATTGTCTTCAAGTCTGAAACCATTTGATCGGACCCGATTTCCGATCACGTTATCGAATCTGGACATCCCTACTAGTATTAGTTATTATTCGTTTGTGACCATTCTTTAGGTCCTAGTGTTAGCCTACATTTTTAAAGTAGCCTACTTATTCATCGGACAGACTAATAGTACTCACATAGAAACCAGTAGCTATTAAATACATTATTAATTATATTATATTATATGGTACTGGTATCTAATCTGTATTCTTGTGTTTATTTACCAGTATCTAATAAATAAACAAAAAATAATACTAGCAGTAGTATGTTTAAAAAATGTACTGTTACAAAATAGTTTTCCCTCATTGGTTTATACTGTATCTCCTCCCTTTTTATTTATTAATTATTAATTTATTTTCACATACTGTGTGTATGTTTTACTTTAGTTTGTTTGTTGCTTATTTTTTCTGTATTGTTAATTTTTGAAAAAAGCAATATAAAATAAAAAAGAACTATTATCTAAATAATAACCACTAAAAACCAACAAATAAGTAGTAGTGTTTAAAATTTAAGTATTAGAAATGTGAAAATAGATACGATTTATGTGTAATATCAATATGGCTTGCCATAGTCTATCACTAACTCAAACAGAAGGAGTTCCCGGAAAAAGCCATATATGGTCACATACGTAATTGCCATGTGACTGTCTGTCATCCAAGAGTTCGGCAGCACCATTTCCCGTAAATTGGGAGGGTCAAAAACGGCACTGTTCTTCATCACTTATTTATATTCCCGTGAACACTCGGAGCCACCAGTTTGGCTGCATTGGAAGTTTATTAAAGACAAAATATAAAGGTTTATTTTTATTTTATTCTACCGCTGTCAGAAATATGGACATTTCAAACGTTGACAGAAACTTCTGAACTCCCCCAACTGTGCCGTGGTGGATTGTGCCGCTTTCCCGCAATACGGTGGATTTTTAACTTGCTTTTCGAGTGAACTGTCAGTGATATAAGTAGGAGGAACCTTTTTTGAGGAAAGCAGACCCAGAAAAGAAAACGCCAGCAGAGAGTGTCACAGATTGAGTCAAGAGTTTCTTCTGGATTACTGAAGAGCCAGCGGCATACATGTACAACTACGGTAACCCGGGCAGAGGAATCGATCGGTCCTTCCCAGAAAGCAGCTCTGGATCGTCAGGCTCGAGCTCCGCGTCTGTCGCTACAACCACCGGCACAACCCAACAACAACAGGTGAGCGCCTGGATGTCATCTCTAACATCAGCATCATGTACAACGTTACAGTTATGTTTTAATATTTGAAGATCTCACTATAGTTTCATTTAACATAATATATATGTATGTATATATATATATATATATATATATATATATATATATATATATATATATATATATATATATATATATATATATATATATATATATGTATATATATATATATTATAAACTCACTGTTTATTTCATACAAAAATAATAACTGGTGATACAAAAATGATAACTTGTTTTCGTCAGCTTTAATCGTCTTAACGTTACATACGAACATTTTAAAGTATTATTTCATATCATAAGATGAAAGTATCAGTGAATTATCAGTAATAATTAAAAGTGACTTGCCGTTTTTAACAGTGTTCAAGACTATAAAGACTAGTATCTAATTGACCAGTGTATAATTGTTTTTATTTCGTATATTATCGTCTAACAATAATAGGTTACATTAACCTTACGTTACTATTTTAGCTTGCGGTTAATTGATACTGTTCAAATGATAAACTGCTTCATGATTTTTTAAGATGATTAACTTTAACTTTAGACTTCATGTTTATCAATATAATAATTATTGTAGTAATTATCAATAATAATCAACAGTAACCATATCATTTTATCCCATTGTTGATTTAAAACTAAAAATGAGTTCTTCAGTGAATTTATGAACATATAATTTGTATCATTAAATGCTAATATTTGACTAAATATCAACAATAATAATAATAACAGTACCATTTTAACATTTTCTTTATTTAGAGGAATATTGCCACAATAAAGTGCAAAATGTATTTATGCACCGTGAATAATTAGAGTATATATCATTATTCCAGACCATTATTTGACTAATCATCAATAATAATGAACTCTTCAGTACCATTTTAACATTTTGTTAATTTTTTCTTTTTTCTTTAAAAAAAAGAACAATAATACTTGAATTATGACTTTTGAGTAACATATTACATTAAAAAAGGTTACTTTTTAACATTTTAGTTAAAAATTAGCTTCATTAAGAACATAGTTGGACATGTACATGTACTGAAAGCATACGTGGTGAATGCTTCATATATCATTTAATATCTGGTAAGTACATTAGCATATGTGAGTATGAGCAAATAATTATCCAGCAGAGCCCAGATCATACAGCAATCAAGTAATAATAACCAAAATTTTATAGTCTGTCTGAATGCGACGCCTACTCAAGTTAGCGTTTATGTCTGGGTGTTTCTGCAAACACACAAACAATGGTTTTTGAGTCATAATGAGACATAATAAAGTCCGCTCCCTGACTCTCACAATCCAGTTTATAGGTAACTAATTGTTTTTTATCTTCAAAGCAGAAGTACTCTGTGGCAGGATCAGGTCAGTTTGTGCCCAGTCTCAATGCCATAACGTCAAACCAGAGCCTTCAATGGATGCTTCAGCCTTCAATAGGCACCCCAGGACCATCAAGGGCACTTCGGTCGTCTTACCCACTGCCGCCAGGGATCCCAGCCACCATGAATCCTCCTCAGCCCTCCCAATCACATCTGTCCCGGCCTGGTGTCATCAGAGCAGCTGCGGCAATTGGCAGCACAACAAGAAGAAACGATGAATATGTAAGTAGCATTTAAGTCTGTGACTGTCTGTCTGTGTGATGATGTCATGGGGGGGATATCATGAGTGCATGTTTGTCACTATGTTCACCTGTCATCATCTCCATTTGCACCAGTGATCTCGGCCAAAAACGTAACCAACACTTGTATTTCTGAAGATGAGACTGGATGAAATTAAACCTTGCAAAATTAAAAAAAAAAAAAAAGTGTAATATCTCTGTACTCGTGACTTGAGATTATATGTGAACACGTTTGCTGATACACACTGGGTGTGAAACTCCTTTGGGAACTACTAACTACATTCAGCTTTTATTTGTTGAAGTAAGGCTGTCATATGTAATAATGTGTCATTAGCATAACAGCATTTGATCCTGGATGAAACGCAGAGATGCTCATTCAATATTAACTCCTGAGATGCCGCCTGACTCATCCATCCATGTGTTGATTATGGAAGGGTGAGAGTGAAATAATTAGACAGGAAATGGGATATCATGTGATTCACTGGAGTAAAATAATATGAGTCATACCTGAGTCACTGGGGTGTTTGCAGGTGATTCATCAATACAGTGGCAGGAAACGGCATATGGTGCCCACAAAAGAAAGAGTGCGTAAAATCAATTATAAAAAAATACAAATGAATGAGCAATTTGAGGTATTCACGGAGTTGGAAATTACAGCGTTGCCTCTGAACGTGAGGAACGCGAATCGAAGACATGTAATGAAAGCTAATATGCCGTCCCCTAGAGGGCAGTATTTACAAGTTTATCGTCAATAAATATTTAAATCACTCGGGATCAATTCAATTATACAGGGTGATTCAAAAAGAATACACAACTTTTGGGTTGATGTCACTCGAGTGTCTGGAGGGGGTCATATTGAACATCTATGAACTTGTTTTCTACTGAAAAAACATTGACTAATTAACCATCATGTTTCTTTGATTAAATACAGGTTGTTTAAATCAAAGTTGTGATATTCTTTTTGAATCACCCTGTACATGAGATTTGTTAGTTTGTTGCTCACCAATGCGGCATAATTTAATAAAAAAATATGACAAAACAATTATTTATTTTTTTATTTAAAATAAGTCGTTTTAATGTGAATATTCTTTTTCAAAATGTAATTTAGTCCTTTTATTCAAATATACATTACTTTATTCAGCATTATTACTCCAGTCTGTGTTGTAACAATATTATTTTGTGGTCAGTCTAATTTGCTGCCCTATTTTGATCAATTATTGATGCTTCGTCATTTATAATGCTTCATATTATTATCAGGGCTTCGTTTGTTTTTATACATTTTATTTTGAGGTATTTTTTTTACTAGAAATTTTAAATGAAACCCTGTTTATACAAAGTAACACACTGTAGAAATGGCTCTGACTTTAATGTATAAACTGTAATGCATTTAGGGCATCCTTGATTAATCAGTTTTAGTAAAGAAAAAACTTTTAATGGTTCTTTGGATTGATAATCACAGCTTCCTCAAAGTATTTTTGCACTTTTTTCCGATTAAATACTGAGAAAATTATACTTGAGGGACAAATTAGCATATTGATAATGAATGATTGACTACATCGAAGACTGAATGTATTCACACACAAAACTGTAGTTTTGAATGTGAATAATATTTCATAACCAGGACTTGACATTAACACTCTGTTAATATGGGTAGATTGGCAGGTTGGACTTCAACCTTCACTAACCAATCTGGCCGGTTGTGTGCACGATCATCATTTCATTATCGCACAGTGTTTTTCGGCTGCTTTCTTTTGCTTATATTTATTTTAATGCTTTAATTATAATCCTTTACAATAACATTGCATTAATAGGAGATTAACTTTCCATTTATGTATAGTTTACTGGTGATATGGGACCTTTAGCCTGACAAACTATACTGTGCATTTTAGATACATCTATTGTTTTGTTTTTTTTTAAGAACATTTTTGTTGAGTATGAAACCACAACTCATTTTGACCCACAAAAAGTGAAATGAATGAGGAGGCATGTGGATTACACAAAATCTAAATCAAGTAATTTTAGCATGCCAAAGTCAAATTTATGCATATAAAATATATTTTCCCAACAACAAAATTGTGGCTCGTGAAAATGGCGAGCCACAGTGGCTGATGATGGAAAAAGTTAATGTCAAGTTCTGTTCATAGCATATAAATGCAGTCTTAGTGAGCACAAAATATTTATTTAAAAAATCTTGATAGATCTAAACATTTGATAGATGTTGATCTTTTTTATTGCTGTTATTATTAATTTTATATCTTTTTTGTAATAGTTTTATCGAAAATGTGTACATCTCATAAATATGCATGACAAACTTGTGTTCTTACATTTGTTTTATTTTCCCACTTCAGCTCTCTCCTGAGGAACTTGAGCGGCGCAGAATTCGAAGGGAACGCAACAAAATGGCTGCGGCGAAGTGTAGGAACCGTCGACGAGAACTGACAGACACTTTACAAAATGTATGTTTATGTTTCCTACACTGCAAAAATGTTTATCTTGGCCTATCTTTGTCATGTCAAGAAGCATTTTCTAGACAAATAAAAAATTTTTTTTCAGATTAATAATTGATAATTAAGTGATTTGTTTTCTTAAAACAAGCTGAATAATCTTAGTAAAATAATCTGATTTCAAACCAAAAAAAGATTAAACAGCAAAAATCAGTCCAAGGCACTCGAAAAGTGTGGAAAAAATATTTTAAAAGGCTTTTAAAAATATGTTCTACACTTTTCATGTGCCTTGGACTGATTGCTGCTTATTACTCTGATGAATCCCTTACCCAGAGCACCGACACATTATTTAAGCTACCCCTGAGCACTTTTTGTTTTATTTTTGGAACCTAAAACAAGATTATTTAACTTACTTTTATTATCATTGATTATTTTAGCCTGATATAATTAAAAAACTCACTTTTCTGAGTTAAAAACTATTTCTGAAAACAAAACTGTATTGTTTACTTGCTTCCTGATTTACGCATTTTGAGATAGACTAGAAACAAAACAAAAACTTAAATAAGAAAGCCATTTATTTTTGCAATAAAATTTTATGTTTCCTTTCTATCTACTTTCTTAATATTCCATCAACGCAAACTAAATGTTTAAACCCTTTTCTTTCACAGGAAACCGACCAGTTAGAAGATGAAAAGTCCCGTCTGCAGAAGGAAATCGCTGACCTCCAGAAGGAAAAGGAGAAGCTTGAGTTGGTCTTCGAGGCTCATAGACCCATCTGCAAAGTCCAGGAATCAGAGTCTGACTCGGACTCCAGCAATGACATCCCATCACTCAGTGGAATCAAGATTGAGCCTGTGGACCCCGACCTTCCCGGACCCTCCAGAGAAACTAAGCATTACGCCAAGATCAACAAGCCCAAGCCCAAAATTACCATCCCACCCCCTCCTTCAGCTTCCTCCATTACCGGCATACCTCTAGAATCAGAGTCCCTTCACACTCCTGTCCTCATCTCTACACCATCCCTGACTCCATTTACCGCCAGCCTGGTCTTCAGCTACCCGTCTACTTCACTGGATACTTCATCCCAAGCCCTCAACCTCGTCACGTCTCATCCGTCTTCCCAGAACCCTCAGCCGTGTGCCGTCGCTCACAGGCGCAGCAGCAGCAGTGGAGATCAGTCTGATCATTCCCTCAATTCACCCACAATCCTCACCCTCTGATCGATTGGCTGCTGTGAGGGGAAAGTTGGTTCATGACCTCCAAAAGTGTCCTTACTACTACATACAAGCAAAGACAAGTACTGTGCATGTTATGTTTCGAGCTGTGTATTCTGTTTACCTTTACTAATGGCAATTATCTAGCAACTTGAATGCATTATAAGCATACAGAAGCACAAGGAAGAAGGTAGAGCTGCACAATTAAGTGTTTAAAGATTACAATTTATATTGTATTTATATATATATATATATACACACACACACACACACACAGTTGGAGTCAGCCCCTGTGTATATTTTCCCCCAATTTCTGTTAAACGGAGATTTTTTTCAACACATTTCTAAGTATAATAGTTTTAATAGCTCATTTCTAATAACTGATTTCTTTTATATTTGCCTGATACAGTACAGAAAGATTTTACTAGATATTTTTTCATGATACTTCTATACGGCTTAAAGTGATATTCAAAGGCTTAACTAGGTTAATTAGGCAATTTAGGGTAATTAGGCGAGTCATCATATAATGATGGTTTGATCTGATAATCTAATCTAATCATATTATCTTGATCTAATATGATTGGGATGGGATGATTGGGAGGCCATGATCAGTAAGGGCCGATGGTGGGAATTTGGCCAGGCCACCAGGGTTACACCCCTACTCTTTTACAAGAAGTGCCATAGGATTTTTAATGACCACAGAAAGTCATGACCTCAGTTTAAAGTCTCATCCGAAAGATGGAGCACACTGAAAGTGTAGTGTCCCCTTCGCTATACTGGGGCATTAGGACTCACACAGACCACAGGTTGAGTGCCCCCTGCTGGCCTCACTAACACCACTAACGACAGCAATCTAGTTTTCCCATGTGGTTTCACATCCAGGTACTGGCCAGGCTCAACCCTGCTTAGCTTCAGTGGGTAACTTAGGCTGGGTGATCTTTTCGATTAAGCAAAAAATGTGTCATCGCTCATCAAAGATACTTATAAAGTCATCAGGTAATAAATCAAGTCGAGGTTCATTTAAACCAATGAAAAAATTAATAAATAGATATATTTTTAAATAGACTGCAGCTATTAGAATTTTATCAGAATCCCTAGAAAATTCAACTTTTATTACTTTCATGATCTAAAGTCATGCTTCTTACATGAATTTACTAACCCTCGTCATTCCATATCTGTATGAGTTTCTTTCATCTGCTGAACACAATAGCAAAACAATTAATAGTATCCATTGATGTATATAGTAGAAAAAAAGAAAAAAATCTATGGAAATCAGTGGCTACTGCTTCAAAATATCTTCTTTTGCGTTCAACACAAGAAAGAAACCCATAAGTCATCTTTGAGCAAACAATCTATTTAATTAATCCAGAATTGTGCAGCTCTAGATAAAGTTAATGTGTGCAACTGTTGACATTATTGTATCAATATATAACACTGAAACAAACAATGACTGACTTTTAAGCCTGTAATGTTTGACCGTAGTATATTAGTTATAGTAATATAGACATATATATTAATTTACTTCAACATATTTAGCATATCAGCGATGGTACTGTAGCAGTCAAATATCTGGCCTGTATGCAATAGCTTTAATGGTTGATGTAGGGGTTTGAAAGGTATTGAGAGCACAATGTTGATCACCGCGATGTCCTTCATAAAGGGAAGCAATTTTTTAAAGAGAGTCTATTAAGTTATTTATTACCAGATGTTACCAATTTTAGATGAATCAGATGATCCACGTGTTAGTGGATTATACAATGTAATGCTATTTCTTTTGTCTTGTTGTTTTATGTTTTAGGAAATGCTGCGTTGTAATAGTGTGTGCTGAATAAGCTAGTTATAAAAGAAACTGAAGGGATGCATTTACATTGTCAACACAAACTTCAATGATAGTTTCACTGTTACACTGGTTGAAAATTTGTATTTGAACTAAACCGAACACTTCAGTGGTTACGTCTGATTCAGGCCAGTAGCATACTGTACTGTACTGTACTGTACTGAGTACCGTATGTCAGACTGCTCAATGACCACATAATGTTTTGTATTTATTTTTGCAAACAAATATATTTTTAAAATACTTTTTACTGAACTGATGTTGGTTCCTTAATTAAGTAGAGATGTTGCATGCTATTTAACATCTAATAAACAATTACTGAAAATACTTGCTGCTATTGAGAGGACAAAACTGTATTATTTCTAGAAAAATACTTTAAAAAAGTGCCTTAAAAGATTCCATTTAAAACTTGATGAGAGTGTATTGTTATTTCAAAGGAGACACAGATAAATAACATGGAAATGAAGGAAATGTTTAGCGAGTTACATAATCTCATGAGGGAGGAAAAGGAGGGGGGGTCGAGCGCAGGACGTCCTGAAAGTTCAATGAGGCACGAACACATTTGCTTCTGAACTGAAACCGATTGTTAAACAGCCTCCTCCAACAGTCCTTGAATGATTAAACAAATAAAGTTCAACTCAAGACCAGCTTCATGAGTCCTTCTTTGTCATCTGTTTGCGTGCTTTTGAGACAAATTGATGTGTTTTGCATGACGTGTTTGTGAAGATCACTCTAGAAAAGATTCTTATCAGTTAATAGCCTGATGAAATAGCCTCATTTTACATGTCCCCTGGGGTTAAACAGTTGAGTTATACCATCTTCAAATCCAGTCAGCTGATCTCCCAGTCTAGCAGGAGGACTTTTAGCTTAGCTTAGCATAGATCATTGAATTGGATTAGACCGTTAGCATCTCACTCAAAAATGACCAAAGACTTTTGATAATTTTCCTGTTTAAAGCTAGACTCTTCTGGAAGTACGTTGGGTAATATTGGCTATAACTAGGCCCACATGAAATCAGTGGGCACAGAAATCTGCAGATTTTTGCCGATTTTCAGCCCATCGAGTCTATTTATTGTGAGTAAAATTACAAAATTGTGTAAATGTGTATTTATTCGGTTTTTAAATTAATTTCAGTAATATTACTGACTAATATAAAAAAAACATTCATATAATTTACTTACAATACAGTTTGAAAAGTTTGATATGTTCTGTCTTTTAGTAGATCTAAGGTAGATATAGTTTATGAGACTTGTTTTGTTTACCAAATAAATGGATCTAATAGGATGGCGATGCAAACATTAAATCAAAAGTTAAAAAATTATAATTTTTTTATCTAACATATTACGTTTTTAGTTACGATACATATAAATCTACAGATTTTTTTGCAGAAAAAATTCTGTGCAGAAATACCAAACAATGTCCGCAGATTCTATCTGGCCCTAGTTATAATTACACTGAAGTTATGGTATATTGTATACTATACCCTCATTGTGGCAAAATAATAAACAAACTTTACTATTCCTTTGGTTTGAGAGTATTCCTATAGCATTCTTGTGAGTGCATGATGTAAATACAGAAGAGCCATGCCTTAAATAGGAAAATTATCACAAATTCTGGTAATTTTTGAGTGAGATGCTAATGGTCTAATCTGATTTAATAATCTATGCTAAGCTAAACGTGCTCCCATCAGACCCAGAGAGACCCAGCTAAATAGTTTCAAAAACTGTAAAATGAGCCTATTTACAAAAAAGTGGAGTGTTTCTTCAGGCCTAAATGTACAATGTAAAACAGAAATAACTTTTCATATTGTGTTGGGTAAAAGAGGACAAGAGATGTTACATATACAGAGAGCATATTAAATAAACATGGCGACCTTATTTCTCCCACACTGTGGCCTCTGTTATCGCTCTGATTTCCAGTGAGTCACTGAAGGAGGACATGAGAACATATGATTGAGATAATGAAGGGGGAGTTTGTATTGAATAAAGCGGGAAGCACATGTTCTGCTGAAAGGAGCTCTGTATGCCAGTCACTGTGAAAGTATTACTGTTCTGGCTCTGGTGCTGCTGGTGTGCAAACAGAAGGCCAAAAATAAACTGGTGAAACGTCAATAAATTAACGGCCTGGGCTACAGCATGACTAAGGCCTCATTAAGACACGACCGGGAAAATTTCATCCTCGCTGTTCTCAATTCCTTTGTGGGCTATAATATACTTTGCACATGACTTGTGGAATTACTGTCAGGGGAAAAACTATTTATAATTTAGATTAAAAAAATATTTATCAAATATGAAACATCTGAAAATTAGAAACACTTTAATAATCATATTTGATTCATCTGACTTTTGGCTCATAGAAGGAAAAGCAAATCTACAGTACATGGATACTACTACAGTTTGTCTGTAAATTAAAGTTTTCTGTATTTAGTTTACCATTTGTCTATGATTTTGAATTGAATAACAGGACTTTTATATTTTTTTGGGCAAATCCCTTAACTGCTGGCTTTGGTATTATATGAAAATAACAATTTATCTAAATGTGAGTTGGACTGCATTGATTTTTTTGGCAGGATGCCTGATTTTAATCAATTAGAAACAATTATTTCCCCTTTCTTTTGAACAGTGGGCCAATGATATGTTGCATGTTCTTAGTCTGGAAAAAAATATGGCTTAATTTAAATGTTTTTTGGGTCCAAGTTCACTGTCATTTGGCGTCCATTCACAAATTACCTCCAAAGCCAAATGTAATTGTATGTGGACAAAATGATGCTGATGCTGTCAGGTTTTGCTTGTATTCTTCTGATGTTGTTTTCATTTTTTTTGGTCTTTGCTTATTTGTACTTCCTGACAAAAGTCTTGTCGTCGATCTCAGTTAAGAGCAACAAGAAATAACTTGACTTCTAGTAGATCATTTGCGTAAAGTGACCGAATGTAGATTTTTCTGATGAATCATCTGTTGAACTGCATCCCAATCATTACAAATACTGCAGAAGACCTATTGGACCCAAGATTCTCACAGAAATCAGTCAAGTTTGGTGAAGGAAAAATCATGGCTTGGAGTAACATTCACTAAGAGGGTGTGTGAGAGATCTGCAGAGTGGATGGCAACATCAACAGCCTGAGATATCAGGACATTTGTGCTGCCCAATCCATTACAAACCATAGGAGAAGGCAAATTATTCAACAGGATAGCACTCTTTCTCATACTTTAGCCTCCAGATCAAAGTTCCTAAAAGCAAAGGAGGTCAAGGTACTCCAGGATTGGCAGGCCCAGTCCCTAGACATGAACATTATTGAGCATGTCTGGGGTAAAATGAAGGAAGAGCCATTGAAGATGAATCTAAATAATCTTGATGAACTCTGGGAGTCCTGCAAGAACGCTTTCGTTGCCATTCCAGATGACTTTATTAATAAGTTATTTGAGTCATTGTAGAGATGTATGGATGCAGTCCTCCAAGCTTGTGACTATTAATTATTTTACCACTGCACCATAACTTTATATTCTATACTGCAAAGTCAGACCTTACTGTCCTAATTAAATAATTAAAAGACTAGAAGTCAAGTGATTATTTGTTGCTCCTAAAACTTTGATAGGCGACAAGACTTTTGTCAGGTAGTGTATGTTGTGTTGTTGGTTGTTTGACTATTTAAATAAATATAAATGGGAGGAAAATGAATAATGGGACTTTGTTTGGGATTTTAAAGATCATTTGGTGTTGTTGGATATCCTCCAAAAACTTTTAAAGACACTAAAAAGTGTCTTTATTTATATTTCTAATAGAAGTGTTAGACTGTCTGGGTTGATATTATGAATTATGGTAAAATAGCTGGTAATAAACTGCCAGCACTTTTTCTGTTATTTTACAGATTTAATTCTCAATATACTATCTATCATACAGTAAATTGTTTCAAAATACTAAAAGGTCACAAAATGTAACTTTGTTAAACTCCACAGTTGAGTTTTTAAAATCAAAAGTTGAAAGAACAAGAATCAATGTGCCATAATGCAATTTATAATCATAACTAAATGGAAAACACTGGTGAATCACAAAATACAGAAACTGTTAACATCAGATTTATTTCAGAGGCCTAAACTGAGCTAAATAAATAAGAGAACTACATTGCATATTTATTTATAAACTTTTAAGCTAAACTTAAAATTAACATAGATGCATTCTAGTTTTGTTTGACCATTTTTGAGATTAATTACCCTGTATTTATTCTAACATTTCTGGAGAAGCTAAAATGATCCCCCTCAGACCTGAGTTGTTCCAAGTTACTGAAAAATGTAAAAGTATGTATATAAAATGCAATATATATATATATATATATATATATATATATATATATATATTGCATTTTGTTTAAAACAAGCTTTATCTTCATCTTCCTCATCACTCAAGATAATGTCAACAAATATTTTCATCTGCTATATGCTAAAGAACTTCAAGATCTGTATATTCTGCATTTGAAATTGTTTCAGCAATGAATTAGAACATTGATATAGTCTTTTTTATACATAAAAAAAGTTTAATCAGCATTATTAGAGGTTTAATTTCAGTAACAGATCTTAAACCCATTGTCCCATCCTAATGGACAGGCATATTTGAAAAAAAGCCTGATCTAAAACTAGCAATGGTACAAAAGATTTTAAACTTTAATTAGTAAGTGCTACAATCTATTTCATACAATCTATGAAATATTGGCAAACATATTAATAAATCATAAAAAAAACATTTTAAATGTAGCTTATGTCTGTGTCCGAAGTGAAGTGATGCTATGATGCTTTTCAGTGTAGAGGATTTATTTTTATTTTTTTCAAATTAAAATATGCCGAGCCTTTTACTGGATGACAATCGTCCACTCTTATGGACTGCAGGCTTTAAATTAAATTAAATGCTCAGAAACCACAAAAACATGGGCTGACACGTGATGTCCATTGTAATGGACACAGGCTTTAAAGGGGTTTTAAACACCCAAAAACAGATCATAAGGGTATAAATACTTTTGCACTCCTAATTATATTAGTTTTTATTAATCAATCTGCAATCTCAACTGTTGTGAGACTACTGTTTGTTAGTTTTTAAACAAAATTGTACAGCAGATTTTTTACAGTCTTAAAATGTCTTTTTTAATATATTCTCATGCAGAGTGATGGTATGAGGTAAAAAAAGACCAGACCAGAACATGGTGTGTCAGTCAAGTGTATTTAAAGCTATCTCACCCACCATGAGCATAGCCTGAAGCAAAGCAAATGCTAATCAATCAGAGAACTGGGTCTTATAGCTATAGAACTGCAGAAATAATACTGATCATAAACATAATCAGATTTAAAACATGTACAACAGAACAATCTTATGTAGGAGGGTCTCGTATGCAGCAAATACAGCGGAAATGACTATAATGATGATAATAATAATAACAATATCTAGCACAATCATTTTAAAACTACAATGTTTTCCCCTCCAAACATGAGTGTCAATTATGCATGTGTTAATTAAAGTCTTGCCAAAACAACAACTGAACACAAAAAGCTTTGTACAGTACAGCTGTGTAGTTAAAGTGGGGTTAATGCAAAAGAAAGATCATTTGAAATCATAGCAACATAGTTTAGTGGAGCACACATCACTACATCTAGTAAATTATACCGTCCAGTTCAAAATGAACAAGCAAAAACAATCTCATACTGTAGAAAAGTGGTCTAATAACATGTGCAGTTCCAGTGAATCAATTATTGGGCCTCCGCGATTACGTCAAAACAAAATATCTGATCTGCTTACAATGGAGGCTTTGCACAATCCGTTGATACTCTCCATTGTTAAAAATGATTCAGTGCTTTTTTTTTTTGTAAATGATCTCAAAGGGATCACTACATATAATATGGCTCTAATCAGTAAAAATGTGAATCTCTAAAGATTCGAGAGTCGTTACAGCCCTGTCGTAGTGCATGTAGGAGAAACATCAGCCCGTGAGCAGATCAGTGCACAGTAAAACCTGGTAAAAGTTAGCAGTATGGTTGGTTTCTCCCAACGTTGTTCAAAATGTCGACCCCAAAACTAAACCTATATTTGTCCCTATCTACAACCCCTGTATAAGAGATGAGAGGAAACATTCCAGCAAGGCTTGGAAAAACATACATTCAAATAATGCTACTAATACGATACATGGGCTTGCCGGAAATTCTGAAGCTTTGGGAACAAGGTGGATGGTTTGTGTTATCTTACACCAGCATTGCTGTATCACCTTTAGGTGGTCCAGATGGTTTTCGACTATGCTAGAAACCAAACACCCTTCTCCAAAAACACAGCTACCAGCTTAAAGGGAGAGTTCACCCGAAAATGATTCGTTCACATTCAGCCAAACAGCAAATTCAGCAAAAATATTCACCCCCTGAAGTTTTGATATTTCAGCAATTTAACAGCACATTCACATTTCATTCATGATTTTCTCTGATAACGGTTAATGGTCACATGACATGCAGGGAAAATATAAATTAAGAATTCAACAAGTGAAGGAGTTATTCTCTGATTTTTGGTGTCCACAAATGAAGATTTCATTCCCACAATTTACATCGGCCCCACGTTACAGTAAACCATGACCATTTATTATGATATTCTGCAACAAGGGAAAGAAATAATCACATGGCCATGATTTATTAAAACAAGGGAACACATTGTTATATTGTATTTCCTTAAAATGATGAAATTAGTTATTAAAACATGCTGATGGATTAATAAATGTGGGAATAGTTTAGTAATTTGTGGTCATTATGTGCTTTTTCCCCCTTTACATCTTGTGTATAGTAAACAAATAATTTTCCAGTGTCTTATTTAATTTTAATTAGGTTAGATTGCTTGATTGTTTCATAGTTATTTTTATACATATTAGCCTTTCATTCACTTCCATATCCCTTGTTTGCACAATACTAGTCTAGTTATATTTTGAAAACCTCTAACTTTCATTTTATGGATAAAACAGTGCCTCAAAATATCTTCTTTTGTTTTCCACAGAAGAAATAAACTCATGCAGTTTTTAAAATAATGCCAGAATTTTCAATCTGTCAGAACTATCCCTTTAAACTGGACTTTCCAGCAAGAGGAGTGATTTTAAAAGGAGAGGCTGTCACTTTAAAGCTTAAAAATAGTTATATTTTGCCTGGCACCCAATGAGTTCACTCAAGTTTTATAGGTCTGCCAACTATAAAATGTTGATCAAGGAAATATAGAGAAACAGTACTTATGGCATCAAAAGGGCCACGAGTAAACTAGCCTACTTTATAAGTCCTGGTCTATTTCAATCGAAATAGCTGAGATGTCATTGTCAGAAAATGTAAACTACTTTTGTTTGCAGACATATAAAGTCCGTCTCAGCGTCAAGAGAGAAGGTTAAAGTAATATGGCTCTGCTCCTCTCCCTCAGTCATCTGGTGAACACACCAAGTGCAGCTGGTCAGGACTGCCAACACTCCCAGTGCTGGAGCTCCCATCGCCCACGTCCCGGGCCACCATACACGGTATATTGAGATCTGTGGATCCACCGGGGCTGGAATCACTTCTGCTCACGCACTCTTCCTCAAGCACCAAACAAAGTTCCTTCAGATCCAGATTCTCCTTCACCAAACCGTCCTGCATCCTCTCCAGATCGGCGAGCTTCTTGAGGTATCCGCCGAGGTCCTCACGCATCACTTTGGCAGCATGGTGACCGAATAGTTGCCACTCACGTGCCAGTTTCTTCACTTTCAGACGATCGTCGTCCAGAAAGCAGCATAAATCCCGAAGTTCCTGGTTCTCCTCTTGCAGGCGCTGGTTGATGACTTTGAGTTCCCTGATTTCAAGCAGATGTCCCTGCAGTTGTTTATTGACTTCTTTGATTAATCGACCACGCTGTATGAGAGCAGACATCTTATCAGATTCTTCCTTGCGCAGTCTATTCACCAGCTCTTCCTTAGTACAAGCCAGCAAGTCTTCATCAGACAACTTGGACAGTTCGCGGTTCAGTATTTCACTGTCGCTCCCCATATTGTACACGTCAATTGGTCTTAAACCATAAAATAAGTCTTAGAAGCAGTGCTGGGTAGTAAGTGATTACATGTACTCTTGATTACGTAATCAGATTCCAAAAAATGTAGTGCATGTACGTTTAAAAAATGATCATAATCGGATTACAGTTACTTTACGGATTACGTGTGTCTACAGACTACTCACACACTCATAGTGGTTAATTCATTTCTTTTTTCTTTAAATATTTCATTCATAACAAGCTGTTTAGCTTTAAATAATTGCCATGTAAATTAATTTCATTCTTTTAAAACACAGGATGCCCCTAAAGTCAAAAGTAATCTAAAAAGTAATCCAAAAGCAACACATTAAACCCAAAATAAATAACCTATTTGATGTTACTGACCACAATTCTCATTATGTCATTTGCAATCAGTAACCATTTGTAAATAATTTACCCAGCACTGCTTACGAGGCACATGAGATGTCTGTCACTGTAAATGGGGCTCTACATTCCTCATCCAGGCACGAAGAAAACCCTCCATTTCCTTTTCAGCCCGGTATTTATATCCTAAAACAAGAGGAAAACCACATTTCTGATGGGCGAACAGGTTCTCCGTCATGCTTAACGGTAAAAACAACAAACTCGTCCAGATTGTAACACACTAAACAGGGCCTACCTCTCTCCTCGGCGTTTTAAATCACAATTAGCAGCGTTCATTTCTCAATAGCTGACTTCTGGGAAGCACCGAAGAGCAATCACGTTTGTTCCTTCTTCTCGGACTGGGATGTTTAGGTCAACACAGAGGTTTAAAATAATCCCCGTGGAGCATCTTTTCTCTTCTGTATTATCTGGGATCACAATGTCCGTGCGCATCCGCCTCTCTCCGCCCATAAGCTTTCGGTCATTCCAGCGATCCTCTTACTTACTGTCCAAATAAGCAAAACATCCCGTCGCTGGCGTTTCGCGTTGTAAATATGAAAAATAAATAAAGAAGAGTCAAAATGTACGACAGGCTGGTTGTCTAGTGCTGCATGCGATTGGTCGGTTTTTGTTTTTTTTACAGAAGAACGACGTCGGATAATCCGCATCCACGACGCTGAGGTGTATAATAGCAGCCCGCGGGTTCACGTCTTGGTGATTCCTGAGGAATTCGCTGAGATGTTCCTTGAGATTACAGTGTTTCCTTTGGCGATGGTGGTGGTTTGGGAGGCAGTGATGTCTTCCCCCATCTCCTGCTCTCCTCCCCCTCTCTTCTTCACCTCCCTCCCCTCCCTGCTTTACCGTAAAAATCTGTACTGTATCCTGGCTTCCTCTAGCACAGCTGTTTCTAATGTTTAAAGCTCTGAAGATACATACCAGAGACTAATAATACAGATTTATGCTCAGGCCCGGATTAAGAACTCAGGGGCCCCTGGGCACATTATCTTGTAAGGCCCCCTACCTGGCCGCACCCCTATAGTTGAATTTAAAAAATAAGAATAATATAATAATTTTTAAATAAAATGAATCTATAATTTGTTGCCCACATATTTAAATAAATGATATATAGTACATATGGATTTATAGTCTGCAAAGATTTAAATTATTTTTCAAAGCATTAAATAAAAATACTAATAAAACTACATATATATATATATATATATATATATATATATATATATATATATATATATATATATATATATATATATATATATATATTTTTTTTTTTTTTTTTTTTAAGGGTATTTTAGTGTATTGCTTTTACAAACTTATAAAGCATATTATTGCCATGGCATATAACGCACAATGCTTCTCCAATCCAGTTATATGAATCTGAGTTCTATGAATCTGAGTCTTTCTCATAATACAAACACTAATTTACTGTCTCTCTCCTCCTCTCCCTGTATTTTCTCTACTCTTCTCGTGATGAAGACTTGATTATAAACCTAAAAGTATCCGAAATCACAGACACTATACCTCTTCTCTCCCCTCTCTCTCCTCTTCTGGGCCTTTCTCTCTCTCTCCCTTTCTGTCTGTCTCTCACACGATGAATCCAGTCCGCGCTGCGCTGCCGTTAGCCTCCTCTGCCTGGTTAATGCTAGCTACTCATCATTTAAAGTTAACGTCTTCTTCTGTACCCTCATTCTCCTGATCATGGGTCTGTTTAAAGAAGGTGTGTATGGAAAATGCCTCAATAAAGATGCCTCCTCTCCTCTTTCTCTCGCGTTTGCTAAATCCACTTGTCCACTCATTTTTGATCTATGACAGATATAACGTTACACTAAAGTCCGCTCAGTTTAGTGCGGGTTATTACAAAACTGACGTTTCCGCGCTTGACCAATTACAGCATTCTGTTTAGTTAAAGAAAGAAAGGCAATTTAAATATAATAATAATATTAATGTGTGATCGCGATTTTTTTGCTCAGAGGAAATACAGTTGTCTTAGCAATAGAGTTTTTGAAGAGAGGGAGGCGCGGCAGGCGCCTATAATAAGGCTAAACATTATTAAATACCCACGAGACACTTGTGACTTTATATCACATTTGCATTATTTAAAAAAAATGTTTCTTTCCTGTTAAAAATAAATATATTTCCAATCTGATATGTAATGGGGAGAAAAAAAAGTAGCACGAGTTCAGCTGATGGTGGATTCGAACCGATGTTATTATTAATCGCGTCAAAAGATGATAACGTGTGCCTTACATGGTGCGCCACTGCGGCTACATTAATTGGCTGCTTTTTACTCATCTTGTCTCTATCAATCAGGCATCGATGGGCGTAAACCCTGAATAGCTAGATGCGCTATTTGCAATTAGCCTAAAAAGACACTCCGAAATTGTCTTTTTTTCTCCCCCCTCGCAGGGGCCCCTGGTGCGCACGGGCCCCTGGGCCTGTGCCCATAAGGCCCATTGGTTAATCCGGCCCTGTTTATGCTGAAATGTCTCTGAATGAGGTGTTCCCACTATGGGACACTCACAAAAAACTAACGGAAAGGGTGACAAAAAGCTTTTCTCTACTTTAAGTCATGGTATTTAGCCACATCCTTCCGCCCTGCACTCCAGCACAATTGTAGGCACGAGGACACAACAATGTGGGGTGTTAACCAGAGCCAGGGGTGAGGGGGGGGGGGGGGGGGGGTTGCTGGAGTGAGAATGGGAACAGGCCACAGTTTCGGATAAATGGGAGGGAGGGAGGGGTGAGCATCGGCATGTAGGACAATGGGGAGAGGTGCAGTGAAGGCAGTGGTGAAAATACACTTGCTCCTTTGGTGGATTCAGTAAGAGTTGGTCGCAGTTTGGGTTGGGGTGCGTGGAAATACTTTTGGACTTAAGAGTTACTTAAGAGTTGTTATTGGCTAACGGATAGTGTACTTATTAAACACTATTGTGATTAAATATCTCAAACAAACAAACATTGCTGTATGGTTATAGGATATACCTAAACGTACACTGTAAAAATATAGATTAATTAACAGTTAACAGTTTCCGTATTTTGTAATTCACAGTGTTTTGCATTTATTTATGGTTGTGAATTGCATGATGGGACCTTGATCTCTGCTCTGTCCACTTTTGCTGTTAAAAATTCAACTCTGCAGTTTAACAAAGTAACTTTTACTGACATTTTAGTTGAAGTTAAATAAGAATTAATGGGGGACACGGTGTTGCAGTGGTTAGCAGTAGCACTATCACCTCACAGCAAGAAGGTCGCTGGTTCGAGTCTTGGCTCAGTTGGCATTTCGGTGTGGAGTTTGCATGTTCTCCCCATTTTTGCGTGAGTTTCTTCCGGGTGCTCCGGTTTCCCCCACAGTCCCAAGACATGCGCTATAGTTAAATTGAATAGGCTAAATTGACTATGGTGTATGAGTGTGTGTGTGAATGCAAGTGTGTATGGGTGTTTCCCAGTACTCTGCTGCAGCTGGAAGGGCATCTTAATGCGTAAAACATGCTGGATATGTTGGTGGTTGTGTATGAATGAATGAATAAGAGATAATATAGAGAAATAAACAGAAAATGTACTGGCAGTTTATTCCAACCCACCAATATATACTAACCCAGACAATATAGCACTTAGTTTAAACTATTGAAAATGGTAATGAAAGTTAATTTTCAAGGTTAAAATTTGTTGGCAGAAAGATCAAGGTCCCATAATGCAACTCAAAAGCCTAAATAAACGGGGAGGAAAAATACAAAATACGTAAAAAATGTGGATGTCATTTATTTATTGTAACATGCAAGTGTGTGTATTACTTTTAAGACTAATTAATTCCTTCCTTTAATCAGTGATTCATTCATTTTTTTGTTGGCTTAGTCCCTTTATTAATTTGAGCTCACCACAGCAGAATGAACCGGCAAGGTGCCCTACGACACAAGCTCTCTTTTTCCAAAACCTTTTTCTGTTTTCCATGACCGTATGAACCCTGTAAATTCTTCAGTGTTGTAGCCTGCAGACAATGTTAGATACTTTGTATTGGTCACATGTTATTCCTGTATTGTAAGTCACTTTGAGGGGAAAAAGCTGCTATATTAATATGTAAATTTTATATTACCACAAGATTTTAAGCCAGCAGAGAAAGTACAAAAAACTACTCTTTGTTATATTTAGATTCGCTTTACATGCTGGATAAGTTGCCGGTTCATTCATGCAGCGGATGCCCTTCCAGCTGCAATCCATCTCTGGGAAATCCTTTAATCATATAATAATAATTTATTTATGTAATATATAATTTGATTACATCTATAATATCATTTGATTATTTATATTTTAAATCATTCATTATTCACCCTTTAAATTGTCAGTTTTATTGCTCCCATTTTTCATTAATTTTCATATTTTGGATTTTTAATATTTTCCTTCCTTCCTTATTCTAACAACCATACAATTAAATAGCTTCAATGAATATTTTTCAAGAGTAAGAGGTTGTCTCCATTTCAAGGATTTGTTGTGAAGAAGTAATTTTCCATTGCTATTGCTTGTGGTATAAACACTTTTTGTGTTTGTGTTGGTTAGATGAAGATCAAAACATATTCAGCTAGTGTAATTCAATAAACTTTGCTCATCATCATTACTTCATCTCCTGCTTCCGCTGTTCTCTGGCTTTTCTCAGTAAACTGCTTGTCACATAGAAGACTGTTGATGTAGTTTTGTGCATTATTATCAGAGATCTCTGCTTTTTGGTTGTTTGAGTATAGTCTGCTACGCCAAACAGATTTTTTTTTTCAGGTTCTTGTGTCCATAGCCCAATCATTCATTATGCCAATCTAATTTTCAAGCCTGAAATAACGTGACTCTTGTAAACACTGATGTCCTCTATTTATTCATTCATTTTCTTGTCGGCTTAGTCCCTTTATTAATCCGGGGTCGCCACAGCAGAATGAACCTTCAACTTATCCAGCATATTTTTACACAGCGGATGCCCTTCCAGCCGCAACCCATTTCTGGGAAACTGAGGTCAATTATAATTTAAATAATTTTCTGCTTTTATTATTTTTATTTTAAATTCAGGGTTCATGCACACTTTTACCACTAAAGTTCCATGACTTTTCCAGAACTTTCAAGTCAAATTTCATGACCTAATGTTTCATGTAATGTCTACATATACATGGTAAATCATAAGAAATGTTTAAATTTATTACAGCATATCATAAAACATGCAATAGTTTCAATTAATTTTTATATCTATGTAAAATAGACGACGCTTACACAGCACTAATAATGCAAGAGCATGTTTTTGGCCAAAAAAAGAAAAGAAGTAAAAACAACTAACCTCCATTTCAACATACAGATATTTGTCAAACTAATTTGAGATAACCTTAATAGTTTGTAAAATAGTAATAGTAGGTAAAACTGCTTCTATTACAAAGCACGTGCGACACGTATGCATTTCACTGCATTCGAAAGTTTAAGCTTGGTGAAATCTAACCTGCAAAACCACAATCACATCAAGTGATTGCATGAGATAGAAGATAATTTAAAATAAGAAATTTAAAATATGGAGCAATCACTTACTTTTGTCTAATCATATTGTTTAACCCCGCCCCTTTTCGCAGCGCCCTACGACAGAATTTTGCAAGCACAAGCTCTTTTTTTCCAAAACCTTTTTCTGTTTTCCATGACCATATGAACCCTGTAAATTCTTCAGTGTTGTAGCCTGCAGACAATGTTAGATACTTTGTATTGGTCACATGTTATTCCTGTATTATAAGTCACTTTGAGGGGAAAAAGCTGCTATATTAATATGTAAATTTTATATTACCACAAGATTTTAAGCCAGCAGAGAAAGTACAAAAAACTACTCTTTGTTATATTTAGACTCTCAGATATAAGTGTGTGCTGTCAATAGGGCATTACATAAAAGTAGATCAAGTACATTTGACCTTTTTACAGCTCTTTTTGTTTCACATATAAATGTAATGTCATTCTGCATCATTTAAAATCTTCTTAAAGTGGCTATTTTTGTATGTTCGTCAATGTGCAATCCATAAAATACATTTAAACATCTGCAGTGGTGTGTAATGTGAATGTAAGTAGCTTAATTTAACGATTTACAGTATGCTTCCCTACTTATAATTGGCACAAGGACACACTCTAGTGATTGGGCAGGATTGTGATGTCATCCCGTTTCTAGGTTACCTCTTCCTGGAGTTTCATCAGGAGGCTTCTGCTCTCTCACCATGATGGATCCTTTTTATAATCCACACATCCCATGTAAACACAGCTAAAAAAAAAAAAAAATTCTTATAAATTACATAGCATCCATATTTTCTTTTTAAACCATTTAACGTATATGACATTATTTGATTAAATATGATACTCTTACTTTTTATTAGATTAAATAAACTATTATTTAAAAACATTTTGCTTTAATCAATATAATTTAACCCCCCCCCCACACACACACGAAGATCAATCGAATTTATAAATCCAAAATGGCGTCACGAATATTGAATATTGGCATCCATTTGGTTCAGTATAAAACATCCATTAACATAACGTTAAAGATAAAATTACCAGAACACTTGGTACCTGAAACCATAGATATATACATTAGATGTCGCCTGGCCTATTGTTGTCTATTGGACGGAATGTGTCAATAGCGCCGCCATCTTGCTACAGGGTAGCGCTCCTTTGACATAAATGCGGGACCAAGGTACTGTGAAGGACTGTGGCCATCCACAGCCAGAGATATACACATATACACATATATCTATGATCGGGAGTTTTCCTGGATGTTCGTATGTAATTTTTTTTTTCCTAATTACGAAAATTATAATTTTACATCACTTTTCTACATTGATGGATCGGTGACCGCACGTGCATTCCTGACAAAAAAAGCTTGTGTTTGTGTGTACAGAAATGTACTATCCACCCTGCCTGTTAAATTTGATCTAATTATGTCCTGAAAAACAGCTCCTCTCCTGCTTTCACTTCTCATAATGACGGAGGGAGCGATTTGTTTGTGAATGAATCCCCCAAACGGCTCTTTCACTAACGTTAGCCGACAATAATACAGTTTCCGGCAGCGCAGCATCTCGTTGTCATATTTCTTTTGCATTGTTTGCTGATTTTATTCAACAAAACTAGCATAAGCCGAGTGTTTAGTGGGAGTTGGAGCTGCTTTGCCGTATGGTGAATGCAGTAAGTTACTGTTATCATCAATAACGTTACCTGATTAGCACAAAAGTTCAGAACATACAAAAACAGAAAAATACTTAATATTACCTATAAAATGTTTTGCCTTTGTGCTTTGTTTTCTTTGTTTGCTCGTTACTACACCCGTAGACAGCGCTAAAGTCCCGCATCTTCACGTAATGTCTTGACTAGTGCGGTTGAATGACATTTGTCCTGGGAGCACTGTACCACTGTGGCGGCGCTATTGACGCATGCTCAGGGTCCCTATGCAATATTTAGTGTATATATCTATGCCTGAAACCACAGCAAAACACATCGAGTCACGTAAATGTTACGTAATACGAATACGGCGCACACCCGGAAGTAGTCGCGACAGATTGTTGTTGCTATGGATGAAGCGTAGCCGCTATATTAGACAGTTATTCCATGGCAGCCATTTAACTTACATGCTAGTTAGTACTGCTTGACCAACAGTATGCAAGCTTAACTTACCTATCCGACAAGCTTATGTTTTCGAGTGAGCAGCCGCTGGATTCAAAACAAGAGCTAACTTAATGTTGTGACATCTGAATGTGATTCAAACCTGCTCATTCGCTTGTGTCCGGTAAGTCCACTGAGGATATTTCGAAAATCCAGAATTCTGTAGCATGTATGAGATGTGTGTGGTGTGCTATGAATTGGTCAAATGGCCCCGTAGTTTAAGCTCTGAGTATGTAATTATTACTGTAAGTCTTGTTTCTTTGACTTTAGTTCTAAAGAAAGAACCTCTGAATATCTGCTTGGCCTTGTAACTTAATAGTTCACTGTGAATGTTGAACGCATTTGTTTATTATTACCCAACTGTGACCATGTGACTTCGTTGTACAGCGTTCATAGTGCCCATGTCAAGATGTCTGTGGAGCTGGATGTTTTTGTTGGAAACACCACCATTATGGACAAAGAAGTGTATCAACTGTGGCTGAATGGATATACAGGTAGAGTATTGTTGTGTATGAGATCATATTCACCATAAAACCTGTTTGGAAATCTATTTTAAATACAGTTCTGACAGAAAAAAGAGACAACTGGAAAGTTATCATGAAACAGTAATGAAATTTGAAATTTCGAAGACACATTTTAAGTTCTTTGTAATATAAAACACATATGAGCATCATTAGTTTCAGTGTCCTTGACTTTTATAGGGCAAGTTCTTGAGTATGTCAGTCGAGTCTGGGGCAGGCTACCTAAAGGTCTTTGAGGAGAACCCAAAACCGATGCTGTCAGATAAAACAGTTGCATCCAAAATTATTAAACCACCTGAATTATTAGCCCTCCTGTTTGTTTTTTCACCTAATTTCTATTTAACGGAGAGAAGATTTTTTTCAACACATTTCTAAACATAATAGTTTTAATAATTTATTTTTATTAACTGATTTATTTTATCTTTGCTATGATGACAGCACACAATATTTTACTAGATACTAGAAAAGAAAAAGCTTAAATTGGCTATTAATATTGACCTTAAAATGGTTATTAAACATTTAAAAACTGCTTTTAATCTAGCCGAAATAAAACAAATAAGTCTTTCTCCAGAAGAAAATATATTATCATACTGTGAAAATTTCCTTGCTCATAACATAATTTGGGAAATATTTAAAAAAGAAAAAGTTTTTTTTAAAGGGGGTTTAATAATTCTGATTGCAACTGTAGGTATTCCGATTTCACTACTGCATTGTTTCCTGCCTAACGCTCCAGTGTTATCCTATCTTATTCGGCGAAATAAGACATTTGCTGTACCCAGGAGTAAAACTAAACATCAGGAACTCTCCTCTATTTCTCATGCTCTGAAATAGTTTTATTATATAACTTAATTCATAGTGTTTTATGTTAAAGATGCTGCAATACCCTGTCCTGTTAAATAAAAAAACTCAAAACATGACAATATTAATTGTATTTTTTAACTGTATAATGAGAAAAAATGTCCTATTTTGATGTCCACAATAAATTTTATTTACTAAGATTTTCTATTCACAGAAAGGGTATTAAATGCAATTAAATTGTCCAATTTAGTGTTCCAAGTACATTTTGTGATGATACAATTTCAAAATATGGGTCAAATAATGTTCCACCTTGATTCAGCAACAGATGCACAGTATATATGTAAACAATGGACTTATTCTTTTTTAAAATAACTTTCTCTATTGTTTTTTTTTAAACATTCATACACATTGACTTACAAACTTGGTCCAACAAACATTTACACAACAATTTACAATAAAATATACAATATACCAGAGATGCCTAAACTATTTGGCCCTCTATCCCATCTGATAAGAGAGGGAGAATGTTGGAATTTTGTGGAGAATGCTTTTAACAGAGATTGTCATTTCTAATTTAACATAACTGTTGAGCTACAAAAAGCAAACTGAAACTAAATGTTTCAATGAAATGTTGTGAATGAATCAGATAAAATAAATAAATAAATAAAAACAGTCACTTGATGGATAGTAGACATTGCAGAAGACATTAGCAAGCGAATCAAGGCAAAGTGTATTTTTAGTGTTATAAATGGGATTGTCCATGTTTTTTGTTGTTGTAAGACATTCATTCATTATAAAATGTAAAAAAATGTATACTAATTATACAAAGTAATTTAAATGTAATAAATTATAGTATCAAATAAATTATATAATGATTTATAATAATAAATTAGGAAATTACATTGACAACTTTTACAGTTTGGTATATTTATCTGTAGCTCACCACCCTCACCACCCCCAGTTTTGGCCCTTCTTAAGAAAAAGTTTGGGCACCCCTGCAATATACAAACAATACATAAAAAAATAATAGATAAATAATCTATTAAGTAAATAATAATAAAATACTGATCTTCAGTTGTATTTAAATTAGTGTAATCCTCTTCAATTTAACTATTTCCTGTAGATTTTATGTCTTTAAAAATAATCTATGAAAGGTTGCCAGATTTGGTAGAATTTATAATCTTTCTTTTTTTGGGAGAATTTAATTTTCTAAAACTGACTGAATCTAAAATTATGAGAAATATTTTGTCTCAAAATAGGTTAATCTGCTGTTTTGAAAGCATAGCAAAGTGTAAACATTTTTATAATTAGTATTTGAGAGCTTTAAATCTTTTAATAGTTACTTTTAATAGTAATCATCTTTTATTAATCTTTAAATAATCAAATAATACTTGTTAGTATGTATGTTTGGTATATTATCTATCGCACAAAATAGTTTCTGTGATCTAAACACTGATTTGTTGTACTGAATGACATTTTAGTAGGTTTCTTTACTTAATAAACCGAAATGATGATAGATTAGATTTGATTCACCTTAATTGTCATTACACATATACAAGTACAAGGGAATGAAATGCAGTTTAGGTCTAACCAGTAGGGCAAAAGCAGCAAGTATTTATTTTACTGCAAAACAATGCCAAAAATAAATTGCAGAAATTACATAAAAAAAAAAAAAAAGCTAAATAAAATGAAAAATAAATGGAAAGTTACACAAATAAACAAACATAAACATAATTCTACATCAAGACATTTATACACAACCAGTATTTCCACACAAGTTCTGGTATAGGTATCAGTTATAAGTGCATTAATAGAAAACTATGATCAATATTTACAGATGGATGTACTATGAATATAACTATAATCAAGTGATTTATTACATATAGATGAAGATACTAATCAGGATAATGCAAAAAGATATGAACAGAATATACAGGTTGTTTTTTCTAGGTTGTTATAGATGATATGAAAATCCAATGACATGATAAATGTAAACAAAGCACACTGTAATGTACAGAAAAACATAACAAAAATGTAATACAGCTTTATATTTTAAACCCCATTTAGCTTTAGTCTTGACATAATATTCTAATTGTCCAAAACAATGATTTGTATCAGTTTGATCCTTCATTTTTTATTATGATGTAATTATTTGTATTAATTGTTGCAAAATTGTACACCACAAAACAGGGAACAATTAACATTGCAAAGCACATTTATTATTAAAATAAAAAAATAAAAAATTGATCTCCCTGATAGTGAATGATGCAGTGAAGGTGCGGATAGAAGGAGGTGTGATGGAGGAGTGTGAGGCGAGTGCAGATGTGCTGCTCAGTGACACAATGGACCAGTACAGAACGTTTCAGATGTGCGAGAGACTTTTACACCACCCAGCCAAACTGGCCAATCAGCTTCTGTTTCAGATACCGCCAGACCGACAAGCCATGCTCATTGAACGGTACCCACTGATTTACATCTTGATATGAATAGTCAGTTATTATTCAATATAAGTTCATTTTTATTTACATTTGTCCCTCCAGGTATTATGCTTTTGATGATTTGTTTGTACGTGAGGTCTTGGGAAAGAAACTGTCAAAAGGAACTAAAAAAGATCTTGATGACGTCAGTGCAAAGACAGGCATTTCGCTGAAGAGCTGCCGAAGACAGGTGGACTGTCTGAAACTATACATTTCTCATATGCTACTAAGATTTGTTTTGAAGTGATTACAGTACATCTTTCTCCTCAAATACAGTTTGACAACTTCAAGCGAGTGTTTAAAGTGGTGGAAGAACTTAAGGGCCCCCTGGTGGAAAATATACGACAGCACTTTCTGCTACCTGATCAGTTAGCCAGGTGAGATTGTCTAGTTTCTTTCTGAATCTTTCTTATAAACACAGAATTCAGCCCAGAAAGGGAAAGCAGTCATATTTAGGAGATATTATTATTCTTTTAGTTTTATCTTCATTAAGTCAAACAAATACTTTTGCAATAGCCTATTTTCAATGTTATCATTTTTATCTGGAGACTCTTTATCTGGATTGTTTTTTTAAGTGAAATCTTTAAAAATAGTAGCATTTTTAACAGGAGTAAATCTTAAAAAAACTTTCTAGAGTAGTATGTTATTTTATCCGTTATTTATTGCATTCTTTTGTCTTATTTTATTGTTATTCATTATATAAAAGTGTTATTTATAAAATGTCATAAATAACTATTTATAACATATTTCTAATACATTTATTAAACATTTCAATAACCAGAGAAGTTAATATGGCAGTAAACACAAAGTTCTCTCTCTCTCTTTACATTCATTAATATGAAGAGACGAGTTCTCTTGAGCAGTTGCTTCAGTTGTGATTTGTTTTATTAATTTCTCCTCTTGCTTAACAATTCTGCCAATTCATCCTCCAGAGACTATGCTGCAATCGTGTTCTTTGCCAATAATCGTTTTGAGACGGGGAAGAAGAAGTTGCTGTATTTAACCTTCCAGGACTTTGCCTTTTGTGCTGGGCAGCTCATCAACCACTGGACTCTCGGAGCCGTGGGTAAGACCACTTACACACAGCCATCTGCAATACTTAACATTGGTCAATCCTGGCATTCAGTGGTCAGATATTTTTGTGTATTGGTCTGTGTGCCAGGCACCCAATCCACTAAATAGTCATCATAGTCGCATGTCCTACTCATGTACTACCTAGGTTGTTTATCATATAGCAAAACACTTTAAATGTGCATTGTAATATTTGTGTAGTTATATTAATGTCTAACATGTGTAATAATCATATAAACAATAAAATAATTGAAAACAATATTACTAACTTTAAATAATATTATGTTTTATAATAATAAAAATGTATGAAAAAGATTATAATCATAATGCCAATATATAAATTGTACTAAAAACAGTTAAGTAGACTGTTAATTGAAAGACTATGCAGTCAGCCAGCCTGATCGCCAAGAAACGTAAGTATTTTACCTTTCGTCAGATTCGTGGCTAATTCGTACGAAAAGGAGGCGTGGCACTTAATCCCACCCCTAACACCAACCGTCATTGGGGAATGAGGAAATCGTACTAAGTTGTACGAATTAGATTGTACGATTTTATACGAATTAGCCACTAAATCAAAAAGTTACGAATTGCCATGAGATTGTGTTGAGTCAGCTTAAAAAAAAGTAAAATAATATTTGTTTTATTTTGTGAAACTGTAAATAATAAATATATAAAAACAGTTATTTAGTTAATATGTTATTAATAGGGTAATTAATAATGCCCATTTAGGTATGTGCAGTTGAAAGCAACAAATATTTAGTCCTGTTATGAAAATAGTTCTTTTTCAAATATTTCCCATGTGATTTTTATAAGAGCAAGCATCATTTTAGGGTCAACATTATTCTTCACTTAAGATTCACTTCACTTTTTCCCCCAATTAGCTAAAGAACAAACTACTGTTGTCCAATGAGTTGCCTAATTACCTTAATTCATCTAGTCAAGCACTATAAGTGGAATACTAGGACTAATAATTTTTTGTACTGTCATCATGATAATATATAAAAGATATTGATTATAAAAATGATGATAATTAAAAATGTTGAAAAAAATCTCTTCATTAAACTGAACTTGGGAAATATTTTTTAAAAATTTACAACAGGCATTATAAGCTAGCCTTCAGCTGTATATAGGAATGAATATATTTTTTAGTGTGTAAAATAACAATGTTCATTGGCATATTTTGACGTTGTACAGACAAACCCTGGACATATAAAAATACACTATATTTAAATATATTATACAGTTGTTGTAAAGTAAACCCCTTCAGGGTTATACAAAAACTTTTCACCATCACATCAGGGTCCCAGGGTGCTTTCACACTAGCACTTTTGGTCTGCATCCGGGTTCGTTCGACGTCAGAGTACGGTACGTTTAGCTAGTGTGAACGTTGTATTCTGTACTCGGTTGAACACGACACGATAACAAAACCAAAAATTTCAGTAAAAGCAGAACTCCATTTTTGCGCTTTGCTTTCATGGCCGTCACCTAGCAACATCTGTACACTAAACACCAGCTTGATGACACAAGAGTACCAGGGTTCAGAAGGAAAAAGGACGGTGTGAACACAAACCAGCCAAGGGGTCAATATCGATCTTGGGTTTGGACCAGACATTCGAACAAAGTGTGAAAACACCTCTAGTCACCCTTTCAGGATTTATTTTGCACCAAAGACTGACTGAAGTTTTTTTTTGTTCCATTAATATCCAAATGTTTTGACTTAATTAACATCTACATGGACACTGCCAGTCTAAACACTTAGTCCAACCACCTGCAGTTCAGAAAAATATTGACCTAATGAAACAATCTCCTTTTTTGTCTCTGTCTGTACTCTCGAAATCTACCGTCTTTCTCTCTTAGATAACATGATGGAGGACATGGATGTAGATCTGGATAAGGAATTTCTTCAAGACCTCAAAGACCTCAAAATTCTAATCACAGACAAGGATCTCTTAGACCAGCACAAAAGGTGTGTGTTTAGCAGAGTGGTTGAACTGATTGGGATAAGGAGATGTATGTCTGAGTAATGAAAGCTCTGGTCCTCTCAGTTTAGTGTGCACTGCTCTGAGGGGTAAAACCAGTGTCTTCAATGAGATGGAAGCCAATTTTAAGGTATGTGTTGGTCATCCGTATAAAAGTTTTCTACACACTGTAATAAACAACAAGTGAAGAATACAAATGTTTTTATGTTACTTTAACTTATTTTAATACGTAAGTAATCAGGTTTAACTATTATATATATTTTAGTCTGATTGATGTAAGTTGGGATGACTAGAAAAGCTAATTTGATTCAGCTAAAGCCCCGGTCAGATCACACAATTTTGGCATGATTTCGGCATGATGTCCTTGTTGTAGGGTGTCGTGGGGATTCATAAATGAAAAATGGGTGTCGTGACACAAGATTCAATTAATCCTTCTTGTGTAATGTGGCATAGTTCACGACAACCGATACTATGCCTGTGACGCCTCACAAGACCATTGCAGAAAGTCACGTGGGTGGCACTGGCCAATAGGAGCACACCATTTCTTAAGTATATATGGGTGTTGCCGTTATTCTGCAAGTTAGGTAATCAAAAAATAGACTGCATATTTACTTATGGGTGGGTCACGGGTGGATAAGAACAATCATTGGTTATGCTTGAAGTACCTTTTCTAAAATATTAAGGTGTTTTAAGCAATTTTATCTGACGGACTGGCACAAATATGCAGACATCTTCATTCTCACAACAAGTTTTTGAGTTCTCTCATCCTTCTAACAGAGTTTGTTGTTCCGAGGTAATCTGGCAACAGTGCTGCAAATATGCTGCAAAAGCATGTCCTGCTTATTCAAATTTATATAATAATAAAATGGTGACAACAGTTTAATACAGGCTTCTCTGAAACAGAATATTTCACTTTAATTTTATTTAGGCTAGATTGTTATTTTATTTAACAAACCAACACAATCGGCAATTCGTGTTTTGGCACATATAGCAGACTTGTTTTGAAGTGCATCACCTCAAATGTTATTCATTATTCTTTTTAATGGAAAACTGACCAACAAAAGATACATTAAAATTAGGATAAAAAAATAAATAAAGCAACGTCGGCGCCAATAGCTTGGTGGTTAGTTCGTCAACACATTACACCGAGGTGCTCGCAGCGACCCGAGTTCGGTTCCCGTCTCGAGGTCCTTTGCTGATCCTTTCCCTATCTCTGCTCCCCACACTTTCCTGTCTCTATATCTCCACTGTCCTATCAATAAAAGGTGAAAACCCCTAAAAAATAAATATAAAAAAAAAAAATATTAAAAAAATAAAATATAATAAAATAAAGCAAACAAAATTTGTTTCAAAAAGATATTTTTCCAAGAAAAAAATCGGAAAAAAATATTTTTGTTTGTGCCCCTCCACTACTCAACTATATGGGTGGATGGTTTGTTACGCTCTGAGGAAAAGAAGTATTTAATGAATGTTTGATCTGACCGGGACTTAACAAAAGGCAGCAAGATTTTTTTACAGCGCAAAGTTTTGATTTCCAAATATCTCCTGAATCACAGAATCTCTCAAGAGGCCTTGTAAATATCGCTGCCAAATTAATCAACGCAAAAGACGTCCGTGATTTCTTCATTGACCTTGTGGAAAAGGTACATTTTTAAACAAAAGCGTTTGTAAGCCCTGAAGTGCTGTGCATGTTTTTACAAAGCACTAAATCTTTACTTTCTGCACAGTTTATTGAGCCATGCCGATCAGACAAATGGACATCAATAGACATGAACCTCTTCCTTACTCATTATACTAATTCAGCTCATATCCTTGACACCTTCAAGTAAGTATCATGGCTTTTGTTTAAAGTGTATTAAGTCATGTTTTTTTGTGCAGGGCAAATTCTCTTTGCAGCCAGTGGAGGTCAGTGTATCATGTGCACATTGCTGTATCTGTAGTCACCTTTGTTTCCTGTCTAGTCACTTGCGCGGTTTAACCACAGTGGAATGCGCTTTTCTGTTTATACAAACCAAATCAGGAGAATCACTTGAAAAATATGTATTTATCCCAAACTACACTACTGTTCACATATTTGAGGTTGGTGAGCTTTTCAATAAATATATTTTTAAATATATTATGTTAACTAAGGTTACATTTATTTGATCAATTAACAATTGTTATTGTTAATAACAACTGTAGTATTATGAAATAGTAGTGCAATTCTGTTTAACATATTTTTCAGTCTGTACTTTTTCAGTCTGTACCTACCAGATAAATACCCCCAGATGAATGTGTGTGTGTGTATATATATATATATATATATATATCTTTACTTTATTGTTTGTTAATTGTCATAATAATCTGATAAATAATCTTTGACATCTTATTTTATTTTTAAATCTTATTTTAAAACAATTTTAAAAAGTTTATAGTGAGAGAACTTTGGATTTTTAAAAACATCTTTATTTGTCATATTTTCTTAAAAAAGTTATTTAAGATATATTAAATGAAAAAATTATATTTAATTGTAATTATTTGGGAATAATCTCTAATTGGAATATGCAGTTGTTGTTATTATTTTGTAATATGTTTTTATCTATAATGATCTTGATAAATATAAATAAACAAATATTACAATGAGCTATATGCACAGTTAGAGTTTTAAAGCCAATGATAATCTTCCAGTGAAAGCTTAATGCAACTATTTTCAATTTCACACGGTTGTTTTTACAGCATCAATGTTGTAATGTTATTACTATACATACAGTTAAATAGACTTAGGTATTCATTTAGTTGTTCAAGCGTAAAACGAGATGAAAGACTGTTGGAACCACTGGTAACGTCTGGTATTGAAAAATGGTATTGAAAATACTGGAGTAAAATAAATTGTCATATTTTAAAGACATCGTGGGGAATGGAATTTTATGCAGTGCTTCTTGTCCGATCTGAGACCCACTTCATATCTTATCTAATAGGCAGTGAAAAATTGCTGATTTATAAGGAAATCAGATCTTAAACATGACAATTTTGTAATGGAAAGCTGCCTGAATGAAAATTAAAAGTCAGTGTGCATATAGCCCATTCTGTACTTATAAAACAGGCTCTTTTAAGACTTACTTTTCTGACACATTTTTTATCTTTCCCTGTTTTTTTCCCTCAGGCACCATGCGGTCTGGACTAGGTACATGGGAGTTATCAAAAGTTGCATTCTTCGGATGTACCATGACTAAAGAATCTATAATTATTATTATTTGCTTCATCTGCATGCACTCCAGCATCTGATTTAAACTGATGTTTAATTTTCCCCTGTGCATCATCTTCTTGCTTTAATCCTTTCCCAAATATATCCTCCCCCACCAGCTGTCCATCTCTTCACATCCCTCTCTTTTTTTTATCCTTTCTTCATTCTTTCACCCTTGGCCTCTAGAACTGTATGACTTGTAAATAAACACAGCATGATTTCCACAGACACTGTCTGCATTGTGTTTTCATTTAACTCCGCTTTGTGGGTTTCCCTTTTAGCAAACCCACTGAAAATACACAGGACATTTGGTAATGATGGAAGTTCAAAACAAGATTATGTACCGATCCTGCTTGTTTTGACGAACATAATGTGGGGGTCTTAAGCAAGACAAACTGCAGGCAGAGACAGTTTATTTCATGCACCTGTCAATTTTGACATTGTGGCTTTTTATGTTGTTGTTTCTCTTCAGTGTAATAAAGTTAAATATTCATTAAAAAAATCCTAAATTTATTTTAAATGTTTCTTTTAATGCACACAATTTTTTTCAATTTGTGTGTGAGTGTGTGTGTGTACATCGATTACAATGCATATTTTTGTAGTCAGTTTTCTTAAAATTAGCTTTTTGTCAGGGTTTTTTTTTTTTGTTTCACCTTTTTCAAAAAACACATTTGGGCAGTATTTCTGCAGTTTATGGAGTAAAACAGTATTTCAGAATTATGGATGATAAAAAAGATACCCAAAACCCCTTTAAAAAAACTGATTAATATGTCAAAAATAAGAAAAGAAACAACAATTTTAAAGCATTGAACAGAATATTAATACAACTTAGAAAAATTGTAATACAAAAAAAAAGTTTCAAATTCTTAATGTAATAAATCAACGTATGAGTGCGTCTCACAATTGAGGAAGCATTCAACAATTTAACAAGAAGAGACAATACACACGAGAAGTGCTAGTTATACAAAGGAACTGTTCAGAGAATGAAATACTAGAGTATGGAGGTGGAGTTTATTTTAATGGAGAGTAGAGTGTTTCTACAGGTTGTTTGTCAAGCCCACTCACCTGTATAAAGGACTTCGTAAATGGACAATGTAATTTTTTTAGAGATCTAGACTGATTGTAAGAAAGTGTCTGGTGCAAATGTGCAAAACTGGTGAAAGTGTCGGTTAAAGGGCACCTATTTTACCCTTTTTTCAAGATGTAAGATGAGCCTTTGGTGTCTCTAGAATGTGTCGGTAAAGTTTCAGCTCAAAATATCAATCAGATAATTTATTATAGCCTCCAGAATCTGCCCGTTTTGGTTTCTGAGTACAGTGTAGCTGTTTTTGTAGCCTGTGGCTTTAAATGCAAATGAGCTGCTTTTCCCCACCCACTGTTTCTACTGTGTTACATCAGATAAACAGCAGTCAGTGATAGAGACAGACAAGGATGAAGCTGAAATGCAGCTCATTAGTCAAAAATCCCAGTAAGTTTATTTAAAGTATTTGTGGTGGAGTTTATTCAAGCCTGATGTTTCACACACAAATGCCTATTAGCAAATAAATGCATATTACTTTTACTAACACCATGCGGCTGTGGTAATTATAGTGGTTAAGAATTACATAGCAATTTCACTCTCTTTATTACAAACATGCTCTATTTTAAAAATGTTTTAAACTTATAACAAACACAGTGAGTTGGAACAGATATTTTAATCTGTTTCTTTGCAAAACAATGTTCTGTGGACATGTGTATACAGGTTATTTCAGAAACATGGTGCCTGTCAGTTAATTCGGTGGGCGGGGAAAACCACATTCCTACTGTACTTCACGTTGCAGTGGGCCTCAAAATCACTGGGACTTGGATCCTATTTTTCACATCAGAAAGTTTAAAAAGATTTTTCGGGTTTATATCACTCCAATATGACAGGGGACGCACAATACCTACACACAGTTGTGTCCAATCAGCTTGCAAAAGTTGATTTTCATTATAGGTGCCCTTTAAAGTGTCACAGACATGAAAAAGTGTTTTCTACAGGTGGTTTGTCAAGCCCACTCACTTGCGTGAGGCATACTTAGAATTAACTTTTATATTTTGAGGTTGTCATGTGGAGAGAGAAGAGGGGGTCCTGTATTTGTACACAGGGGCTCAGGTGATTTTTGAAGATATTATTATTATTATTATTATATTTTTACAGTTTCTTAAGAATAATAAATACTCAAGCATTCATAAGGATGTTGTGAGCTGTTATACCAGTGACTCCTCTGGGAAGTGGGCGCGTGCTGCAAAGATGGGTTTGAGGTCTGTGTGTGGCCCCGGGAAAGCAGCAGGGGGCCACAATTTGTCAGACCTTGGTGGCACAGTGTACGTGTGTGTTTTTGCAATAATAGTATGTAATGACAGCTGTCAGCCCTACCACATTACTTTGGAGGTTGTTTTTGGTACAAGCGTAATGGCAAACAGCTTTGTTTGTCCTTTTGTCAATTGCAGAGCAAAACTATGTTTATTTCTTTGTATAATTTGATGAAGTCTAAATGTGATGCCTCCAATATGAGGAATGTGCAACTGATTTTTCTGAGTTGATAATGTTTGATTTCTTTAATTACACGAACCTGACTAAAGCCTCAACTAAACAAAAGCACGTTGATGTGTTTGTATTTATTATAATGTAAAACAAATTGGTGAAATAAATGTTCTGTTGTCATTCAGTGTAACGTATTTGTGTAAAAATAAAACAACATACGTACTCTGTTTTTACTGAAATATATTAAGAATAAGTAGTAATATTAGACGTAATTGTATTAAATGGTTTGAATTTAAGGGTTTAAAGGATAATGGCAAAGAAATCAAATAGTTTCAAGTAACACTGGAAATTTGGCTCCCTTAAACTGGAAATATGTCGTTCTTATTTATTTTAAGGTGAAGAGAGGCTTTGATTCAGCAAAAATCTGTTGAGTGCAAGGTGAGTTTTTTCCAGGAGAATCACACAGTCTTAAATGTGCTTAACTACTAAAAATAGATTTTGTCCGAAAAATAGTATAGATGGATGGATGGATAGATAGATATAATAATAGATAGATCTAACCTTGGCAAACCCACAAAATTCAGATGTTTGCATGGTAAAACTTTAATTGTTCTTTAGACTTTCTGTAAACATGTTCATCATCACACTTTGCAGGTGTGAATGCCATCCTTACATTTATGTACATCGAACATATGAGCAAGACCAAGAGCTCTGAAAAGGTGGTCACTGTCCACTTACAAAGGGACTCTGGTGTGATTTGACTGAAAAATAGATGCAGCACTGACCAAATGAACCCAAAACAGGAGATGACGTCACAAGATAAAACAATAAAAATGTCAGAATGTCTGCTCTGTTAAAGCTTTCTATTATTCCTAACCAGTGTTACGTAAGTTACTTTAAAAAGTAATTATAACTTATTACATCATTCAAATTGTATTTAAACAAAACAATCTAATGACTATCTGAATTGTAACGTAATTTCTTTGTTATGACATTTATTTATTTAGCTACTTTAAAATCCTTATAAATCTAAATGCATAGATACAAAATAAGCTCTTTTAATTATTTTACCTTTGACTTAAATTTAACACTTAAGAATTGTTAAACATGGCAAAACTCAAGGCAGTTCAATTTAAAGACACCATATTGATCATACACACCATATTGACCAGATTTCGTATGACATTTCAGTACATGTTTCTTTAGCATGTGCAATTGTCAGACACCTCTAACCTTCTTTAGTTGATAAACAGGTTATTATGCAAAATATATGGATAACAACAACACAAATACATTTGATATTTTCTTAAGTATGTCCAATAGCTTTGATAAAGATTGCTAGTTAAAAAACAGACATATTCTGCAAAATATATTGCGCAAACAATTACTCTGCTTTCTTGAACTGATTTATATAACACTGTTGAATTAATATACAGTATAAGTGATGGTGTGTATTTACTGATGGATGTCTGCTTCAGGCTGTAGTAACACATTCCCTTTCTTATGTATTTATTAAAAAAATTATGTTTAAGAGCCTAGATTATATAAAGACCTCAGTGTCATCCCACTTCAGAGTAAAACTGGAATCATATGTGTGTGATTGCTTTTCTGTATGCCAAAGCATTTGTTTTCTCAGGCTCTACCCAGCCAGGTCAGAGCAGAGGTCATGGAGACCTCTTGAGTGGACCTGGACTCTGTCTGTTTCCTGAATTATACTTGTTAAATCTAAGTGAATTCTTTTGTATGTAAACTGCCAGTTTTTAACCAGTTTTGACAAGACGGCTGAGAGTACACAAGAAACAGATTGAACTTCCAGTCCTGGTGGTCGTCTGACGTTTGTGTGCTTGAGATATTGAGATATCAAGAGAAACACATGAGGGAATTTTCTATCATTTTCTATCAGAAAAGTCTATCAGTGTTTTAACCTTTATCAGGTTAAACACCTATATGTATGACGCAATCATAGATATTTACATTATATGTCGCCTACGGCCTACCCTGTTTTCGCCATTTTAGTACAGGGTAGCACTCCTTTGAAATCAATGTGGGACCAAGGTGCAGTAGAGGACTAGCTATCCAGAGCCAGAGATATATATTGCATACATCTGTTCCCTGTGCTCAGTATGCAAATATTTTTTTAATTTACGAAAATTATAATTTGACATGACTTTTCTTCATCGATGGATAAGTGATCACACAGGCATTGCTGAGAAAGAACGTGTGTTTATGTGCATGGAAATGTATTATCCTCCCTACCTGTTAAATTTAATCTAATCCGTGTCCTAAACACACCCCCTCTCCCGCTTTTTTTTCTCTCCACTTCTAATTCTAACAGAGGGAGCGATTTGTTTGTGAATGAGTCTCCGTTATGAACGGCTCAAGTGAACCATCGATATCCCTGCATCTTAATGTGCATAATATCCAGTTGTCTGATCTAAATGGTATAAAATTTTTAATATTCAATAATTTAGGGTGAACAGTATGCACACTGTGGCGCAGGCAGTTATGTTATCAGGCACCCTTTTAAGTTCCTTCAAAAACTAGCTGTTACTTCACTTAGCCGACAATAATACAAGTTTTTGGCACCACAGCATTTTGTTGTCATTGTTTGCTGATTTTGTACAACAAAACTAGCATAAGCCTAGAATTTAGTGCAAGTTGGTGCTATTTTGCCTTATGATCAGTGCAGTAAGTGACTGTATTATCATCAATAACGTTAC